TTGAAATTTTGTTAAAGTTGCAGAAGAGCGTCGACATGAGCACTGAGAAGGGCGTTGATGTTGAAGCAGCGTCAAAAGATTTATCAGCGGATGGAGCAACGCCGGATTGTGACGTTCAAAATCGTTGTTATAGTCGTAGAATGCTGATGAAACTAAGCGAAAACGCGAATCATGATTTCGTTCCGAAAGAGGTTCATTCATCTACATCGTTTCCATTCATTTTATTCACTCTGTCGGTGCATCGTAATCGTCATTCTCAAGTGGATGAATTGGCAGTGATGTTGTTTTCAGAGACTGGAAGAGATAGGGTTGTATTGTTCTTGGTCACTTGGAAGCGTAACCACCGAGAACGATGTTGTTTCTCCAGCTGAAGAAGTGAGCAGCCCTGATAATGGCTTAACTGAATCTAGCGCTGGCACTCAGGAAACTGCTATCAATACGGTTTCAACTGAATCCAGTGCTGGCACTCAGGAGAATACTGTCAACACTGAGAGTAAGGTTCGTTCTTATGAGCGCGATCACTTTTTAGTGTAATCTATCATTTTTGTCATGTATTTGAAATCCGCTTAAAATCGCGTCAAATGCAGTTTTGCTGCATTGTTGACGTTTTGAAATATGATGAGACTGTGGCCATCGAGCAATCGTAAGCCTTACAATTGGTAGGAACATTAGATAAGTGTATTTTTTCAAAGCTTAGGTGAACTTGAGATAGAATGATGCTTTGTCGTTTAGTTTGTCGTTAAAGAACATCCGTTGATAATTGTTCGCGATCACTGTTTTGTTATTTCTTTAGAAAATTCAACCATCCAGTAAAGAGGCAGGAGAAGCAACTGAATTTGGTTTGCTCATTGCTGATATAAGCGAGGAGATGGTGCAAGAAATATGGCATAAACTGCGTAAAGATGATCTTTTCTTTGAATGGTGCCTTCAAACATTAGTCGGAGATTTGGTATGGTTTAAATGTGTTTTTGTTTTATTCATTATCTCAAAATTTCATCATGTGATACTCATGATGCTACATTGTCTGATTGTTTTTCTCTGTCAGGTGATTAAACAGTAACCACAGAATAAATGTTATTATCTTCAATATTATTGTTTTGTGATGCTCACGAAAAGAAGTTTGGAATGCATTCAGAAACCAAGAATTCGATGTACAAGTTGTGGTTTGAGTGGGCATCTGATCGACGCGTGTCCAGAGCTCCAACTGCCGAAAGTTGTGCCGATTCGACCGATGGACAAAAAGCAGAAAGACCTCGTCGACGTGCTACTTCGAACCGTTTATAGTCAGTTTTGATTAAAAACCCATTTTTGATGCCTTTGAATGTGTTCTCTTCACCAAAATTCGTCTGCTTTCAACAATAAAAGCGGCCGTCATTCAGATGTAAACAAAAGTTATGTGCACAGTGAGACTTAAACTGACAAATTTGAGGGATTTTTTTGTTTTCTTTGGCGAGTTATCATTTAGAGTTAACTGATTTCAGGACGACTTTGTATGAACGCTGATTATGAGAGGTTGTTGAGAGACTTTTGTTCTCAGTTAGAAGTATGCCTTATGAATGGTTATCGAAACGATTGTCGTTTATCGTTGTTCGGTTCGGCCGGGAATGGATTCGGTCTGATCGGTTCTGATGCCGATATATGTCTTCGTTTCGCTGCTGAATCTATTTCTGAGGTGTGCGAAATGATTCTGTTTGGATTCGTTTGTCGACTTTTCTGTTTATTTCGTCGTGAATCGTCGTGTCTTCAACAAAGACATTTGATCTATGCTTAGTCAGAACGGTTCAAAGCGATCGGAATTTAGAAGTGGTGCTGGATTTTTTAATGAATAAAAATTCTCGAGACGACACGGATTCATAGGAATTTACTGCTATTCGGCGATAACAAATGATAGAGTTCGTAAATTTATTTAGAAGCATAGCGGATTTGACTGCATGTGTCGTATTGTTTATTTATTTATTTATTACCTCAGCCCAATTGAGATGAAATTTTTGAATGTTTTGAGGTGAATTTTCGTTCGTTATTTCGTTCGAAAACAGTCGAAGTTCAGGAGGTGGATCCTTGCGAAGTGATTACGGATGTGGCTGAAGTGGTGAAGCAGATGCCGGGTATTGCTGGTGTTACGCCGATAACGAATGCAAAGGTGCCGATTGTTAAAGTGCAGTGTGGTCGTATGTTCGACCGTTTAGAGGCCGAGTGAGTTGGTCGATCCTATTTCATTCTTTTTTGAGTTCGTCTGGAGCATTTCTTTGTATCGTCGACACGTATGTACTTATGAGTGAATCGGATTT